GAAATATTAAAATAAATCACTTCGTTAATCACAAAATTGGACGAATATTAAAAGCGAAAACTAAACAGAGCACATCCTGCTCTATGTAAACAGAGAGGTCAGGTTTCGTCCTGACGTCACTAACTTGGCATTCCTGGCTAACATTGTAGAATAGTGATCTGGCTATCCTTGGTAGTTTAAAGTCCTTGGTCCTGACCTTGTTATATAGACCTTGGAACAGTCGGAAGAGCGGCCATTTTAGAACCATACATAACATTAACCCTTATTTCTTTTACTACGATTTCTAAAGTTGAAGTTCATAATTTAAGAATTAAATTATAGTGGTAGAAAATAATATAAAAGTATTTATAATATTTATATTGTACAATTTCAAAACTATTTTCTGTAATAATTTGTTTCTGACTTAACGGATATTTTGATATTATTGACGACAAAAGTTTAAAATCATTGATTTCCTTACCTGTCCATTATTTTTGTTTGACGGAGTTGAATTGTTTGGACCACGTGGCATGAAAAATTTTGTCAAGGTCCTGATGAGAATGTGCAGACAACTGAACGTGTGAAAGAAGACCACCGAGTCAAGACCGTTTACACGTGCAACTATCTATGTTGCTGACGTCGACGGACACACACCATTTGTTTGTTGTGATTGGATAATTTAAATTAGCAAGCAGTGACACTAGTGAGACTTTATTAAACTAATTTTTTCTCATTTTTTCGTTAAGGCGTGAAATATTAATTTTGTACCGTAAATGGTACTTGAAATATTATAATGTACTGATAATGTACTAAAAATCTAAATGTACTTTCGATTTACTGGAAAGGGCAAAATGTACCAGAAATGTACTAGGAACGGCAACACTGGTTGAATGTTTTTTTGGCAGGCATCCATTCTTGCAGATTATCTACCTCTTGAGTTACCGTATTCCATTAAAAACAATTCGTTTAACTTTACTCATTTTTTTGAAAACTTTTACACTATAACTATGAAGTTGACAAAGATATTGTCCAAATAATAAAAAATATATTTAAATATATATCAATATATTTAAATATTCAACTATTTTAGAACATATTTTTATAATTTTTGATATATTGTAAACCTTGAATTCATCTAAATTTGTTTTTTATATTTTTCAAGTTTTGAAATTATCATGTAAGATATATCGTTAATACAGTTTTATAGATCTATCTATATATTTACTTATTTGTTTTCTTCATTTTGTAATATAATAGTGAAGTTGATATAAATAATCCCTTACCATTGATTTATTGTCATAGCTAATATAATAATGTTTAAAATAATTTATTTATAATATTAAAATTTTAAAAATATTTATTTCCCAATGTTGATTATTGAAAACGTAGTGAGGAGATGAATGTTTGATCTTCATTCTTTTACATGTAAGGAAAGGATTTCAGGATCGAACAATGTCGGCAGTTAAAATATGTAATATTACATTAAACGTTTACATAAATACTGAGCTAAAACACAAAGTTTTTTAAGTGAAAAAGTTTAAATTTCATTATTCATTATATGGATTATTGAAATAATTATGAACCACACAAACTTACAAAGTTTGTGAAAACTTTAAAACAATTGTACCGTGGATTTAAAAACGTAAAATAGGTAAATTCAAAACATCATTCAACATAAGTCGAATAATTCACTTACAAAAATTGTGCTATAGTATCCATATGAATAATTCTGAATAATTTTTCGGGATAATGTAAGCTATTGGGTACTTTTACAATGAATCTGCCACCAGAATCGGAGATTCTTGCGAATATCACACTCAAATATGATACTAGATTCAATGATACAATCCAAATTATTAGCAACACAAGTTGTACCAAAAGATATTTTTTCGATTTTCAATACAATCCAAATTATTTATTTAATAAAATTATTTCTAAATCAGATAATTTTTAAATATGATCAGCATCAACGAAATTATTATGATCAGCATCAACGAAATCAACGATGAAGTTTGTTTAGTAAAGTTATGGCAACGCAACACTTGGGTGATCTGCCTAGGGGTAATGTCTTTCTGGGATCTTTTTAAGGGTCTGGCCCCTATTCAGGCGTTACAGACGTGGAAAAAACCCGGAAAACTCCACATAGCCAGCCCGTTCTAGCGAGGCGCTAACCCATGACCGAACTCCCAGTGTTCAGAAAATGGAACCGATTGTTCACTAGTCGGCCTTCATGATGAAACTAAATGGAAAGCAAAGCAATGGAATTGTTTCGCTAGATGCGCGGGATAATACTCACACAACGAGATACAACGCAATTCTAAGCAGGAAAACGTGTAGGTCGCTCTTTGTTTTCGCAAAATTAGCAGCAAAATCATTTATGCACGCCGACGAAAACCGAGGTATTACTGTATTACATTGACTCATTGTACTTCGTATTCTTAAATATATTTTAAAAAATTAGATATAAAATTATCAATTGATATCTTAGGCACAAACTAAAGCAATATACTGTATATAATTTATAATTAACATACGAAAATAATAGTATATAATAGATACTACAATATTTTTAATTAAAAATGTATAATGACAGATCTTCGGAAATTAGTACTCCAGCTTTAAAATAGATAAATTAAGCCCTGAACGATTTTACTAGTAGCTTCTATAGATAACATTCCGTAAGTTTTTGGGGTACAGGATTGTGAAAGCGTAGCAAAACGTTGCATAAAATTTTGATTGGTTCCATAAATATGCAAGTATCTCGCGAATCATTGAAGCTGAGGAATGATTTCATTTATTTCAATTTCTTCTGTTTCTGTTGAGACCAGTCCCAGACAATTATTTTAAATTTCGATTTTATGATCAGGGGAGAATCCTTAACGTTTTTGTATTTTTCTAGGATACTATTTCGGTACAAACGAAACATTTTAGAAAACAATCCAGTAGAAACGTAGAACAACCAAATGATTTAGTACAAACACTTAGGAGGACCACACCACGAGTATAATTAAGCAATGTTCCCATGACCTTGCTTAATTGCAGTGTATTTCATAAATTGGATAATTACACATCAAAGAATAGAAAATAAATGTATGATTATAAACTTAAACTTGTCCAACAAAAACTGTGATTTTTTCGTTTCTCTTTGTCCTGTTTTCTTCTACGGTAACATAACTAGGCAAAGCTCATGAATAATTTCTGGACTCAGTGAGATTCAAGAGATTTTCCAAGTTTCTGATTAGAAACAAGTTTAGGGTGTTCTCGGCTGATGTTCTGAAATGTCGAGCAGAGACGATAAAGTTATTTCTTGCTCATTACTTTAGAACATTTATTTTCTTCAATACTTCTCAAAAATTTGTTATAACGGACTGGAACCATGCCAACTTTCCATTTTTGTTAAATTTGTAATTAATTCTTAATTTCTTTTTTAATTGATGTTGTTCGTTTTAGAGTTTATTTGTACGTATTCAAATGAGTTTTCTTTGTTGTCTGTTGTATTAGAGGACGGGACTTATTGATCTAGCGACATCGCCTGTATATAATAAGTAAATAAAATAAATAAATAAATATACAATCAGTTCTTTTATATTGTTTTCCGAAATCGATCTATCGTCGAATGTAAATTTTCTGTAAAATCCTTCCCTATTGACTTCGATACAGTTTACCAATTAAGTGGTAAATTAATTTCCTATACGATTGAGGTGTTAATTTATTTATTTGTTTAATAAATGAAGCTACTTTTTCTTCCTCTTAACTCTTACATATTCAGTTTCTGTTTTGGTGCATAAACTGTTTTCTGACAAATAGAAGTTAATTACTTAATATTTTTGCTCTGCTGTCACCTGAAAAATCAGTGTTGTTTAGTAATTTCGGTATATTCTGATATTTTTTGTTAAAATCCAGTGTTAACAAGATTTCTTGTGCTAATAATGGGCACACAGTACTTACAGTATTATTATTTATTATTTTTATTGTATTTAAAGAGATGTTTTTTTCAACATCATCATGATATATCAAAATCACCTAATTAATTACGAACAATAATTCTAAAGTAACGTAAATTCAGCAATAAGTTATTAAATTCAATTTATTCATAGATTAAACATATTTTTTCGGACAGCGAGAAGTAAACTTATATCTAAATTTGTAAACAATATGGTTAAATTCAATACAAACTTCAGTATTTTTACTATTTTCATTTTTGGTACGTTGAAAAATCAGAATTTCTCAGAGTATTTCTATATTTAAAACTGCAAAATTTAATTTTATATTTAAAAAATATTTTTAACAGGGATGATCCTTACGTTGAAGATTGAAGCAACTTCTTTCAAAGATAAAGTAAGTAAGTATAAATACAAATTAGATACTAGTTTATACATTTTGTAAGTATGAAAATGTAACTCATAAATGTGTTTTCTTATAAAATATATTCTCTGAATTTTATGTATACTTGTATTTGTAAAAACCATAGCATTGAATATATGTGTTAAGATCAACTCCTGATCTTAACACATATATACACAACGTTACAATCATCTCCTGATAAACCTTTTCAGGTATCAGGTGATGATTGTGGCGTATTTTTGAACGATCGCAAAGAAAACGGCTTACTAAAACAAGGAAAACCATCTGTCATTTCTAACTTTCTTTAAGATTATTTATTACATATGTTACAGTATAAAATTTAAAAACTAGCCTTATAGATTGCAAGCGCTGTTCCGTATGAGATAATGTGTAAACGTCTTTGTTTGTTAACACGTAAAACGCAGTACAGAACAAAACAACACGTTCGCAATAAAAATACAAGTGCAGATATTGAACTAGAAAGTCGAGAAAATGCTATATGTTCTTTGGCCATATCTGGTTTACGTTATTTAGCCCTGTTGTTTTAAACAATTTTAGTCATGTGCAAATGAGTGTATCAGAAAATCGAAACTTTTTTAATACAATGAATGGAAATAAAATTCCTGATTGTTATGATGAATGATAAGTACTACTATTTAATTTATTTCTTTGTGTTTTTATCAAAAAGCGGTAACCTGCAACGTCAATTTATATTAAAGAATAAAAAAGTAATGACTCATTGATACTCTTCACACATAAAACGAGACCATAAGTCACCAAAAGTTGGACAAGCTTGTTGTATATTACCGAATTTTGTAGGAATTACTGAGAAAATGCATTACACATGTAGGTTATGTAGCGACGTTCTCCTTCTTACGTGTTAGTTATAAAACGTAATAATAGAGAGTGATTCACTCCGGATTGAACACTTACTATGTTCAAAACCTCATGATTGGTACGCATAGTAACACGTAAATAACATGTAATGAAACACATTGCATTGGTCAACTGTATTTTCATGAAATAAAGCTCGTTCCGTCGTGTTTCGTGCCCATATTTTTATTTTATACGGGGATAATTTACATAGCAAATGTTCACTCTCAATTGAATCACCCTACACATTCTATAACTTCTTCTATTGCAAAAAATAATTTCAAAATCGGTTTTCTTTCGATTTTTCAGAAACAGGATCATTTCGCCAACAGAAATATAATTAAAAGAGAGACTGTGGAAGATCTTGAAAGTTGGAAAAAATTACTTCGAATTATCAAAGCTTTGAAACATTTCGAAAACGATTTGTTGAATAGAAACGACCACAAAGAAACAAGACTCGCTGATATTAACGAAGTTATCCAACTGATGGCAGACTTTAGTGGTACGGAAGGGATAACTGTTATTAAACCGAATTTTGCCAGAATGTTTCATTTTAAGTTATGTCCATTCGATCCTACCTTATTAAAACAAATACAATCGATGATTAGAGAATTTGAATATTATTCAGACTTTATAAAGAGAACGAAATTTTACGGTATGGATGCAGAAGATTTAGCTAAAATTGGTCTAGTAAACAAATAAAATGTCCGAAAACTAAACTCATTTTGGATAACTTCGATTATGGATATTGCATTAAAGTTAAATATTTTAATTAAGTAAAAATAATAAAATTTATGGCCGGCGT